CAGTCAGTGTTTAGAGCTCATCATAGCACAGAAACAGCACTAGTAAAAGTCACTAATGATATTCTCATGGCCTCAGACAATGGACTTGTGTCTCTACTGGTCCTGTTAGACCTCAGTGCTGCATTTGATACAGTTGATCACAATATTTTACTACAGAGGCTTGAATATGATGTTGGGATTACAGGAACGGCTCTAAAATGGTTTAAATCATATCTATCTGATAGATTCCAGTTTGTAAATGTAAATAATAAATCTTCATCATACACCAAAGTTAGTCATGGAGTTCCTCAGAGCTCAATGCTTGTGCCAATACTCTTTACTTTATATATGCTTCCATTAGGTAAAGTTATTAAACAGCATGGGATAAATTTTCATTGTTATGCTGATGACACACAATTATATTCGTCCATTAAACCCAATGAATCCAATCAGCTACTTAGACTACAAGCATGTCTTAAAGACAAAAAACCTGGATGACCCTTAATTTTCTCCTGTTGAACACAGACAAGACTGAGGTTTTGGTTTTTGGACCTGAGCACCTTAGGAATGAATTTTTCAGTCTTTCTCCCTCCTTAGATGCATTAATCTGTCCTCCAGCTCTAATGTTAAAAATCTTGGTGTTATTTTTGATCAGGACATGCCTTTTATCCCCCACATTAAAAACGTTACTAGAACCACCTTCTTCCACCTGCGTAATATCACTAAACTTAGAAACATCTTGTCCTAAAATGATGCAGAAAAACTGGTCCATGCATTTGTCACGTCTAGACTGGACTATTGCAATGGTTTATTATCTGGGTGTCCAAATACTTCTTTAAAACGTCTTCAGTTGATCCAAAATGCTGCTGCCAGAGTCTTAACTGGAGTTACTGGGAGAGATCATATCTCTCCAGTTTTAGCTTCTCTCCATTGGCTCCCTGTCAAATCCAGAATAGAATTCAAAATCTTACTTCTAACCTACAAAGCTCTCAACAGCCTAGCTCCATCTTACATTACAGATCTTATTGTTCCATATTTTCCCAAAAGAGCACTTCACTCTCAGGATGCAGGTTTACTTGTGGTTCCTAGAGTTTACAAAAACAAAATGGGAGGCAGATCTTTTAGTTATCAGGCTCCTCTCTTGTGGAACAAACTTCCAATCTCTGTCCGTGAGGCTGACACATTATCCAGTTTTAAAACTAGGCTTAAGACTTTCCTTTTTGCTAAATCCTATAGTTTGAGTTGGCTTGGGTTTCCTGAGCTGTCCCTTAGTTATGCTGCTATAGGATTAGACTGCTGGAGGACAAACTGACCACAATTTTTCACTCTGCTACTGTCTTTACTTACTTTGCTCAACATTTGTAATTATTTTTTCTATCCTTAACATGTTTTTTTTTTTTTGTCTTTCAGGTACACCTGCACCTATACCTGGACCTATATCTAGACCTATCATTAGGTGTTCGTTTGTCTCTCCTCCCTGTCCTCTCAAACCAGTCTGTAAAAGCAGAAGGCCGCTTGTCCTGAGCCTGGTTTTGCAGGAGGTTTCTTCCTTTTAAAAGGGAGTTTTTCCTTTCCACTGTTGCCACTTTGATTGATCAGGATGGGAAACTGCAATGAAGCCAAGATTCAACTTGTCTGCTGGATTCCTTAGATAGAGAACTTTACTAATTGGCTTTTATGTACAAACCGGATTCCAAAAAATTTGGGACACTAAACAAATTGTGAATAAAAACTGAATGCAATGATGTGGATGTGCCAATATCTAATATTTTATTCAGAATAGAACACAAATCACAGATCTAAAAAAGTTAAATCTGGTCCTCTGGACATTCAAAAAAACAAAACAAAGCAAATCAACAAAAAAATGTAGAAACGTTTCGTCTCTCATCCGAGAGACTTCCTCAGTCTGAGGAGCTGTATTCAGCTCATTCTCTTAAATAGCACCGTCTCAGAGTGGATCAACCAGTTTTGCTGCTGACAACCAGAACCAGCTGATCACATGCTCAAGAAGGACCATCAGCCTAACAATGGATCATTAGCACACTGATGGCTGTTTACTGTTCACAGAGGGCTGATTGATACTAGCAATCACAGCATTGTAAGAGGGGGACAGTTGAACCCGGAGGCTCCACCCCTGTTTAATGATGGACGATTTCTTTTCACAAAGATGGCCTCCTTTACTCCTCTCTCAAACCATCGTTCCTCTCTGTCCAGGATGTGAACATCTTCAT